GATCCTGTTTCTACTAGCAAGGAAGGAAGGTAGGGAGGGAGAGAAAGAGAAAAAGAGAGACAAACCAGCCAGGCATTGTGACGCCGTTAGTCCCAGCTACTCAGGAGGCTGAGGCAAGAGGATTACTTGAGCCCAAGAGTTTGAAGTTGCTGTGAGCTATGATGCCATAGCGCTCTACCCTGGGCAACAAAGTGAGACTGTCTCAAAAAAAAAAAAAGGCAGTGAATTCATGTCCTACCTGATTCAACTCTTTGTGTGGCACTTCTTTGGGAAGTTCAGGTTTCACAGTGACTGTTCACTATGTAATTGCTGGGTCTAACTCTACTGTCTCCCAATTTTAAAACCAGCATCTGAATCTCTCAGCAGGCACTGTGCCACCGGTACAGGGCTTGCTATTCCTCCTGTTCATCAAGGGTAGTCTGCTCATGAAGCAGAGGCCAAGTGTGGTCAGATCCTCAGGGTTACCAAGGGCCAGTGGGCCTGGAGTAGGACTTGTGCTAACCACTGCTAGATCTGTCTCCCACTTGGCCATCATGGTGTGCAATCATGTGTTCCTAACACGGGGACAGATGGTAGTGAAGATATTGGGGCAGCAAGGATCTACATTTTGGGCTGGCAGGAAACAACGTGGGCACTGGAGCCAGTCCTGAGTTCAAATGCTCTACAGATCATTCTCTATATGATCTTAGCAAGTCACCAAAGCTCTCTGAATAATATCTGTAAAAGTGAAGATAATAACCAGAATACCTGCTTTCCTTGTTAAGAGGATTAAGTGAGGTCATGTCTATGTATAAGGTGACTGGAAACATAACAGAGGCAAAAAAATGTTATCCTTTCCAGGGGTGGCGCCTGTGGCTCAAAGGAGTAGGGCACCAGCCCCATATGCTGGAGGTGGCGGGTTCAAACCCAGCTCCAGCGAAAAACTGCCCCCCCCATATATATATATATTATCCTTTCCTTCTCCTACATCTCATCTGAGTATTGGAGATGACAAGAACCCAAGAAGACAAAAGCTGCAGAAAGGACTCAAAGTTAGAAAACATAAGCCTTCAGAGCTCTGGAGCCTGTGTTCAAATCCTAGCACTGCTCCCTGCTAGCTGTGTGACCCTGAACTAATCACTTAACTTTGCTATGCCACAATTTCCTCATCTACACCACGAGGTTTTGCAAAGAGAATATGAGCCAATGTACAGAAAGGTTTATAACAATTCCAGGCCCCTCGTAACCATGCAAGAAATGTTAGTGATGTTGGAAGAAGAATAAGGTTGAGCTCCAAGGCTGTGTGTGTGCTCCAGGAAGACAGGGACCTCTTGGTCTTGGTCACCATCATCTCTCTGTCTCTAGAAAAGCACTGTAAAGGTTCTTGGAATTAATGAATGGGTGGGCTGTGCTTCTCACTCTGATCAGCCCTGTGTCAGGGCATCTCTTCCAGGGACCCTGCCCTGGGTGCCCCTTTGGCATGCTACCCTGTCAAGATGAGGCACTGACATGGGCATTTCCCAAGACCAGGCACTCTTCTCAGCAGACCAGACTCCTTGGCATGGCCTCACACAGTTGCCAGTTCAAACCATCATGCTCCCACCTTCCTAGTGCCAGCACTCACTGAGGACTCTCCTGTGTGTGTGGCCCAGTGCTGGAATGTAGAGATGACAAGATCCCGCCTTCCTGTCTGGTGGAGGAAAGCAACTACTGTAGCAGACAATTGTAATGCAGGGTGATGGCTCGGCACCTGTGGCTCAAACGGCTAAGGCGCCAGCCACATACACCTGAGCTGGCAGTTCAAATCCAGCCCGGGCCCGCCAAACAACAATGACGGCTGCAACCAAAACATAGCCAGGTGTTGTGGTGGGCGCCTGTAGTCCCAGATACTTGGGAGGTGGAGGCAGGAGACTCACTTGAGCCCAGGAGTTGGAGGTTGCTGTGAGCTGTGATGCCATAGCACTCTACCCAGGGGGACAGCTTGAGGCTCTGTCTAAAAATAAAAAACAAACCAAAACCAAAAAACAATGCAAGGTGATTAGTAAATGGACAGGGAGACCCAGAGGAGCCCAGAGGAGTCCTCAACCCAGTTAGACCCAGAGGATACAGGGAAAGTTCCCAGAGGAGGTTTGGACAGCTTTCTCTGTGGGGAGAATTATGTGAGCAAAGGCCTGGTGTTTAGCAGGAACTATTGGTAGGTTGTGTGGCTAGAGTAGAAGGTGGGGGAAAGCAAAGGCTGTGCTGGGCCCTGGGGGTTGAAGACTTTGATGGGCAGGCAGAGGAGCTGGGCCTTTATACTGAGGTCACTGGGAACTCAAGGAAAAGGACAGGGGGCGGGTGGGGACAAGTCTGCCTTGCTCTTCTCCATCCTCATATCTCACCAAACACCAATCTCTTTGCTCCTTTTACTGGCCTTGCTTGTTTCTGAAACCTGCCCAGCATGCTTCCACCTTGGGAAGGGGTGCAGATTTGTAGTCAGGGTTGGGAATGGGTTTGGGGTTAACATTGGTTTTAGGGTGAGGACCTGGTTTGAAGTGCATTTGAATGGGCCTCAAATGTGTTTTTCTGGATGACACTTCAGTGTTGTGGGGATGGGACAGGTAGAAGATTTCTTGGGGGCACATGTATGGCTATGGCAAGGACTGGGCTCCAAGCACAGTGTTATGGGATGCTGAGCCTTTTACCATTGGTTGGGTCACTATGTACTCTTAGGGCAACCTTTGCCAGCTTGGGAGGGACCTCCTAGCAGGGGTCAAGGCACACTTGGAGGGTGGAGCCAGTGAGAACCTGTGAGGAGGAAATTATTTTCACGGTGTCCAAATCGCACACTGGGCTCAGAGAGGTTAAGGAACTTGCCCAAGCTCATGATGAGCATGGGCAGGACTTGAACCCCAGCTTGCTGGTCCCAAAGTTACTGAGATTCCCAAGGTATCCATTTCTGGTGAGACCAAAAGAGAGATGAAGACAAGTGGGCCTGCAGGGCTTGGTGGGCTGGGGAAGGGGAACAGCACCAGGTGATGACTCCCCATCAAGACAGCCTTGGGCCACTGGAGCTGGCCCTGGTTCAAGGGCCAATTCCTCCAACTGTGAAAGATACCGGGGGGTTGAGAGATATAGAAAGTGAAGTCCCCAAAAGAGACCAGAGATGAAGGGGTCAGGCGGGGTTAGCCTGCCCTCTGGATGAGGCTTAGCCCCATGTATACCATTCATCTGTGAATAGCACCAGATCGAGTATCTGGCCCCCTTGGCCCCTCCAGCCCCTCCTCTTCTCCCTGCCCTTCTTTTTTCCCTGCCCCACTACCACGGCCCAGCCCACGCCTCAGCGCACCCGCTCAATGAGCCTGCTCTAATCCCTGACATCACCACCTGCCCAGCCCAGACCCAGCCCACTAGCCTTGGCAGCCCCCCAGCCTTAGAAATCCGGTTTAGGACCCCTCGCCTCAGAAGCCATCTTTCTCCTCAGTCTCCTCTCTCCTTCAGCTCATAGTTCAGATCTGGGAAACCCCACATCCATCTCCAAGCTGGAGTCAGGATCTGCCCTGGTTCTGCTGTGTGACTCCAGATAAGTAGCTGCCCCTTTCTGGGCCTCAGACTCCTTATCTAAGTCCTCCGGCTCCAAGAATCTAATCAACCTGTCTTGGCTTCTTCTCAGCACCTTGTCACTCTTGGAAATCTGGGTTTTTATTGGTTTACACGTTTATTGTTGGTTGAAGTACCTATGAGGCAGGAACCTTGCCTGCTAGTTATTCTCGCTGGTGCCTTCACACAGTATGTGCTACATTAATGCCTACTGAGTGATGTATGTGCCCCCTGCCTCTGTGTCACCTCCAGGGCAGGTGGGATAGAGCAGTATTCCATCCCCCCTAGATAGAATTAGGGTTGGGGTCTGACTGACCCCTCTGATTCAAGAGGGGAGTAAGGGGTAAGATTTGAACATGCACTCCATTAGGGAGAGGGTGGGAAAGCAGTTTTCTTTTCCCGGAGTAGGAGAGAAATCCTCAGGTGTGAGTGTCTCCATGTGTCTGTGTGTATTGTGCCTAGGCAAAGGCACAAACTCTCTCAGTACATCAGAGGCTGGGACATTGCTAGATCGCCGGCTGCATGTGTGTGTGTGCACATGTGTGGGTATAAAGTGGTGTCTGTTCTGTGTGCACTTGTCTGGACTCTGAGTGTGTGTAGCATGTGTAGGTCTGGCATGATCCAACACATAGGCATATCTTCTAAAGTGTCAGGTCCACGAAGACAGGCATTTCGTCTGTCTTGTCCCATGCTCCATCCCCCACACCTAGAACAGAGACTGTACACAGTATAGTCCATGCATACTTGAATGAATAAATGAATGAAAGTAAGTGTGCGCTCGTGCCTGGCATGTGCCCACGTGCCAACACATGTGTAGACGTGTGCATGCTCCTGTGTCTGAGGATGCACACCTGGGTGTAGATGGGATTACTCACACACCGGCCCTCTTATCCCTTTTCCAAACTCCCTGGGAGCCAGCACTGAATGCCTGGGTCCCTGTGGGGCGGAGCAGGGGGCCCGCCTCCTCAGGGGAAACTGGATCCCAGGACGTGCAGAGCGGCAGGGAGCAGGGCGGGCCCCTTTGTCCCCTGATAATCCCCTCCCCGCCCTTGTCCCCTCCTTCCCAGCCACCAGGGTTTAAGGTCGAGTTTGGAAACTATAGGGGTCTAGGTTGTCACCTCAGAATCCCCTTCCCTACCTATTCCCTGCCTTTATTCCCTGTTTCTGTACCCTGAACCCAAGGCTTCTCTGTCTGGAATATATGTCCTCTTCAGGGTCCCTCCCCAACCCTCACCCTATCCTGTCCTGTGGCAGAGTCTGCCTCTTATTCTTTGCCAGGACCCTGCTCACCACCTGCCCTTCCACCCTAGGGCGTGATTCCTTCCCTTTCTCTTGGGCGGCCCCAGGGCTCAGCCCTGGGTATAAAGCCACCTGAGAGAAAGGAGGACAGGTACCCTAGAAAGATCCAGAGATTGCAGAGAAGAAGGAGCCAAGGAGAGAGCATGAGCTGTCTGCTGGGTGAGTGAGGTGGCAGGGGTCCAGAGACCAGGATGAAAGGGGGCACTGCCCAGCCCCTCTGGCTCCTCTGTCTCAGGTGTCTGGCTGTCTTTGCATCTACTAAAACCCTCTAAATCCTTCCAAATAGTAGACTTTATTCATCATTCATTTGACAAATATTTATTGAGTGTGTATTACATGCTAGGTGCTCTTCAAAGCATTTGAGGATATAGCATTAAACAAACAGATGAAAATCCATGGCCTCATGGAGGTTTCATCCTGTAAGCACACAATAGGTTTACCATATAAGTAAACTGTAAAGCTAGTATGATAGAAGGTGGTGCAGTGATCCAAGGTTGTTGAATGAATGAATGAAAGGGCCTTCTTCTTCTGTCTTCTCTTAGTTGGTTCTGAACTTTTGGGAACTCAGGAATGTAGAAAAGGGGACAGAGGAGGCCATCATGGGTTTGCTTCTCACCTCCATCACTTTCTAGCTGAGATTACGTAATTCTCTTTTCGGAGCCTCACACAATTGGTGGGGACCAGCCCTTTAACAGGACAATTTGGCAGCACCTGTTCAAATTTACTTATTTACTTATGTATTTAGACAGAGTTTCATTTTGTCACCCTCAGTAGAGTGCTCTGCCATCATAGCTCACAGCAACCTCAACTCTTGGGCTCAAGTGATTCTCTTGCCTCAGCCTCCCAAGTAGCTGGGACTACAGGTGTCCACCACAATGCCCCACTGTTTTTAGACATGGGGTCTTACTCTGTTTCAGGCTGGTCTCGAACCTGTGAGCTCAGGCAATCCACCTGCCTCGGCTGCCCAGAGTGCTGGGATTACATGTGTGAGTCTCTGAGGCTGGCCTAGCACCTGTTCAAATTTAAAATAAGCATGCCCTCCAATTCAGACATTCCCTCTTTCAAAAGTGCCCACAGAGACTGGGACAAGGATGTTCATGACACTCATTCACTTATTCATTCGACAAATAACTGTTACGGGGAATTGGCAGTGAAGGAACCAGGTGAGGTTTCCTCTTTTTTTTTCTTTTTTTGAGACAGGAGCCTCAAGCTGTCCCCCTGGGTAGAGTGCAGTGGCATCTCAGCTCACAGCAACCTCCAACTCCTGGGCTCTAGCGAGTCTCCTGCCTCCACCTCCCTAGTAGCTGGGACCATAGGCACCCGCCACAACGCCCGGCTATTTTTTGGTTGCAGCCGTCATTGTTGTTTGCGGGCCTGGGCTGGATTCGAACCTGCCACCTTGGGTGTACATGACTGGCGCCTTAGCCACTTGAGCCACAGGCGCCGAGCCGAGGTTTCCTCTTTACTGGAGCTGACATTCTAGTGGGAGAGACAGCAACAAGCAAGTGAACAAATCAATGAGGTACCTTCAGACAAAGTCTCAGCAGAACACAGAGAAGGCCAGTGCCCGGGGAACAGGCCTTTGGATTTTACTCTGAGTGAAGGGGAAGCCATGAAAGCACTCCAGCAGAGGAGGGATGTAGTTGGACCGGGGGGACTTAGTGGCAGAGGAGATGGCAGAGGAGATGGCAGAGAGTGGAAGCAGAGAAACTAGAGAGGGGGCTGCTGTCCAGGGGGGAGGCGATAGCAGCTTAGGCTGAGGTGGTAGCAGTGGAAGGAGGGAGATAAGTGGTTGATCCTGGATACATCTTTTCATTTTTTAAATTTTTTATTAAAAGTAACAAATATACAGAAAAGTACACAAGTCATAAGAGTACAGCTCAATGGATTTTTACAAAGTCAACATATTACTTGTAATGGGTAGTCAGATCAATCAGGAAATACTCAGATCAAAAAATATGTGCGCTGGATAGAGCCAACAATTTACTGTGGGAAAAAGTGAGGCATCCAAGAGGACCCCATGGCTTTGGCCTGAGCAACTGGAAGAATGGAGTGCTCTTACCTGAGATGGAAAGATGCAGGGAGGAGGGGAATTCAGAGTTTTGCACTAGATATTTCTAGTCTGAGATGCTTACTAATATATAAGTGAAAAGGTCAAGTAGAAAATTTAACAAATGGGTCTGGAGTTCAGGACAGTGTTCTGGGTCAGAAATAATCTACTTACAGGATGACTCTGCCCTGACTTGGATATACAAGGTAGCTGTAGGCCACAAGGGCTGTACCCTTTTTAGAAGATAGGTAGGGTCAGGGACTTGGTGCTGACCTCTTATTTCCTTGGTAGGCCCCCTCTATCTGCTGATGCTGTTTTTGCCACCCCTCAGTCTGGCGGCCCCCCTCTCTCCAGCTGAGCCCATCAGTCAAGCATATAGCCTGGCCCTCTACATGCAGAAGAATACATCAACGTTGCTGCAGACCTACGTGAGTGACACTGGGCATAAGCAGGGGACAAGGGGATGGGTATTGCCCTCCTGGTCCAGCCCTGGGTAGAGGAAATAGAGCAGGCCCAGAAGACCCCTGTGTGGGCCCTTGGCCACAGGAGCTCTGTTTACTAGAGACATACTCACTCAAAGGCTGTCACTGATGCTGGGTGACTTTGGGCAAATCATTCCTCCTCCTTTGGGCTCAGCTTCCTCATGTACAAAATGAGATGCTGATCCTGCCTTTGCTGACTTCTCAGGACTGTTACGAGGTTCAAAGGAAGCACTGGCTTCCTTTGGCTTTCCATAGTCACGGTTGTTTCCACAGCCACACCGTGTGGTTACCTGGGCCCTATGTCATGCTAGATACTCTATTTCCATTACCTTCCTGACTCCTCAAACAATTCTGACAGGTGGAATTATAATCCATTCTACAGATAAGGAAACTTGAGTCTTAGAGGTGGTGAATAATTTTCCAAAGGTCACAGACCTAATAACTGGCAGTGCTGGGCCCTGAAACTAGGTCTGTGGAATTCCATGCCCCCACCCTGACACTTGCCCCACTGTCTAGAAGTTAAAACTGACAGCCTGCTGGCTGGGTCTGACCCACAGATGATTTTTGTTTGGTCCATGCAAAGCTTGTTCAGTTTTTGAATACAAACGCCTGTCTATATTAGGCATGGGCATCCTGTTGGCTAAAACTCCCACTTCACCCCCACCTTTAGTTTTGCCTTTTTCCCAAGTTATATGATCTGCCTGGCCCTAAAGGTCTTGGAGTTGACTTTTCCATTGCACGATATTCCAGGTTCATGTGAAGTTACTCAATCTGATTTCTTGTCCCATATCTTCCACTATTCCCTGGATAGCCTTGGACACACTGAGCCTAAGTTTTTCCACCTGTAAAGTAGAGAAGTAGAACTAGGCAATTGACCAATTAACAGATCTATCAGTATGCATATAAGATTCTGTGGGTTTTGATAGTGGAAGTAAGAACTTTGATGGGGAACGTTCTTAATTAAATTTAATAACATTAACAATTATGCATTAATGATTACAATAAAATTAACAAACATAAGCTATTACATGCTGTAAATTAAAAAAGATATATGTAACTACATATTTATGTAGCTGTGACTACATTGTTAATATATGTAGATTTAAAATATTATAATAAATAATATAATCACTGTTCATTGATATTAATAAATATCTTATTAATGATGGCTTATCACACTCTTACTGCATGTCAGAAGCTGTGCTAAGTGCTTTATATGTATGAGTTCTTATCATTGTCACACTAATACTGTCACGTGGGAATTATTGAAGTTTGTGATTAATGCTGTAAAGTTGGTAAAAGGAGGATGACAAACTAGAGCCTAATAAGGCCCTTGCTCTGTGCTAGGTTGGCCCACCAACTCCCTGAGGGGTGGTGAGTGGCAACTCTTCCTGGGAAGATGCTAATTTCACAGGGCAGATATACAGTTACAGCCCCAGGTACCCCTTTGGTCCCCTCACTCCTGTCTGTCTCTGTCCCTCCTACAGCTCCAATACCAGGGCAGCCCCTTTAGTGACCCTGGTTTCTCAGCCCCTGAGCTCCAGCTCAGCAGCCTGCCTCCTGCTGCCGTTTCCTTCAAGATCTGGCATGCCCTGGATGATGGGGAGCGGCTGAGCCAGGCCAAGGGAGCCTTCCTGGCCTTAACCCAGCACCTCCAGCTCGTGGGGGATGACCAGAGCGACCTGAATCCTGGCAGTCCCATCCTGCTGGCCCAGCTTGGGGCTGCGAGACTCAGGGCCCAAGGGCTGCTAGGCAACATGGCTGCCATCATGACTGTCCTGGGGCTGCCTCTCCCCCCAGAAGAGGACACTCTTGGGCTTGTCCCTTTTGGGGCATCAGCCTTCGAGAGGAAATGTCGAGGCTATGTAGTGACCCGGGAATATGGCCACTGGACAGATCGAGCAGTGAGGGACTTGGCTCTGCTCAAGGCCAAATACCCAGTGTAGGGTACACTTTCTCTTCCACAATAGATTCTTTTCTGCCTTGCTTCTGGGGTGGGAAGGAGATACAGTTTGTCTAGCAGACAGATCTTGTGCGCCATGTCTTGGGAAATATTTCCTAGAAGCCAAGCCTCAATTCCTTATTGCCTGGGCCTTCCTGTCCAGGTCCCGTGGGCTCCCTTCCAGATTTAGATGGGCCTCCATGGATACCATTTCATGGATTACTGCTTCTCGGTTGGAAAGAAGTGCCTATCTGAAGAGGCTTCATTTCCCACATAGGACAGTTGGCCTCTTTTCTGGGCTCTCCCTGAAATCTTCCCCTTCTTGTGATTTTGGGGAGGTACAGGCTGACTTCCTGTCTCTACCTACCTCACTTCCTGTAGGAGGAGATGGCCTCTCTTCTTGCTGGAATTTATTTCCCCCCCTAGTCTACCTCTTGTCTATGACAACCCTTCTACTTTCCTTCTTAAGGGGCTTCACTTCCTGATGAATGGAGTCCAATTCTTAAATAACTAAGGACTTAATCACATTTCTTTCTTTCTTTTTTTTTAGAGACAGAGTCTCACTTTGTCACCCTTGGTAAAGTGCACTGGCATCACAGCTCACAACAACCTCCAGCTCTTGGGCTTAGGCAATTCTCTTGCCTCAGCCTCCCGAGTAGCTGGGACCAGAGGCACCCAGCTATTTTTTATTGCAGTTTGGCTGGGGCAGGGTTTGAACCCACCACCCTAAGTATATGGGGCAGTGCCCTACTCACTGAGCCATAGGCGCCACCCAATCACATTTATTTTCTGCTGGGACACATCTACTTCCTGTTCTGGCAGGCTGGCAGGTGGCATCCCTGGCCAGAGGCTCTCATGAAATCTCCTATTTATAATGTGCCTTTCAGGGTATATCTGGGGAACTAGGGCTGTACCCCAAGGATCCTATTCTTCTTATAAGCTGTCTCCCCATTTTCAACAATTGTATATACAGGCAATTTTCGTTTTATTTTTATTTTTTAAATTTTATTTACCAAAAAAATTAATTTATCTTCAGAAATAAAACTCTTTTAAGGTGTTGCTTTTTTTCCCCCCCTCTCTTTCTCCACAGACCTGGCTTGGATGGGGTGGAGGTGTGCAGGAACTGGGCGGAGGGAGTGAAGAACCTACATCAAAGCTAGAGGGGGCGGGCCCAAAGGGATATGCGGGGTAGAGTGAGGATAGCAGGTAGAATGACCTGGGGGCAGGTGGTTGAAATTTGAAATGCCTTTCCACCATAAGGCAGGCAGGACCGTCCCTGGCCAAAAAAGGACAGGAAGGGACGGAGGGAGACAGAAAGACATCCTTGAGATGAGGCTGAGATGTACACATTCTTATGTGGGACCAAGGGGAAACAAGAGATGGCGAAGGAGAGAAACAAAGAGATCCCCAGAGCCGGGTAAAGAGAGAGACCAATAGAGACTGAGGCAAGCCCAAGGATGGAGAAAAAGAGAGGGAAAGTGGGAAAATGGTAGACCTACGGAGAAAAGGAGGTCCTGGAACGAAAGAGGGCATGCAAAAGCAAAGAGATGCGGGACACAGCGACGGAGACAGCGGGAGAGCAGAAAACACCAACAGAGATGGAAGAGACAAAGAAGTGCAGACAGACGGGGAAATGAACATAGGCAGAGAGAAGGCGACAGCGCGAAGTGCGCCCCTCGCCCCATGCTCACGCAGGGCCCCCGGGCACCAGCTGGCTCAAGTCGCCCTCGGTGCGGCTCACCCATTCGCGGTAAAGGCCGCACACGCTGAGCCCCAGCACCTTGGCCGGGAAGACTCCCGCGACGGTGGCGGCATCGGCGGCTGGGGGCTCAGGCCGAGGCCCACGGGCGGCCGCACCCAGCGCGGCCAGCACGGTCTCCACGGCGGCGCCCAGAGCCCGGGCCTGGCGCGCCGCGTCCTCCAGGTGCCGCAGCAGGCGCGGTGCACGCGGGTTCAGCTCCGCCTGGCGGCGGCGCACTACATCAAGCAGCGGGGGCAGCGCGGCTAGTGCCGCCGCGTCCAGCCGTAACCGCTCGGTCACCGGCAGCCCCGAGTGGCTCGGTGCCGGGGCGCTCAGGCCGGCCACAGGCAACCGCGGTGGCGAGAAGCCAGGCAGCCCGAAGGGGTCTCCCTGGTGCTGCACCTGCGGAGACACGACCGGCGATCAGCGGGGCTTCTGGAGGAGGGGCGCCTTGGGCCGCGGAACCATGGAGGGGGGCGGAGGACCTTTCACTCTTAACTGGGTCCTCCACCCCTTTCCGAGGGCCTCAGTTTCCTCATCTTGCAAATGATAATTCCTCCTGACAGCGCTACGCTGAGATAAAACAAAATAACATGGGCTTCACGCCAGTGCCTTGAGCATCTTACTTAAGGCAGGGCCTGGCCCCTAGAAAAGCCTCAAATAAATGTTAGCTCCTTTATTAATTTTATTTTACAGACCCCTTGTTCAAATCCTGTCTATACCACTTACTGGCTGTGCAGTTTTGAGCTAAAAACATTTTCCTTCTCTGACCCTCAGTCTTCTCATCTGTAAAATGGGGGATGCAGCTTCCTGTCCTATCTTCCTATCAGAGGTCTCCTGAGAATCATGTAAAATATTGCAGGGACCTAGTCAATTTCACTCTTTCTACTATCCTCCTCAACTTCTGTACCTGCATTAAGTAGGGGCTCAATGAATCACCCTTATATAAATGAACCAATGAAAGATAAAAGCTATTAGTAATTTGTAAAATGCTATAACAATAACATTTATCCTTTGCTAGCATATTGCCTCTGGTTCAGGCATTGTTTGCTGCTTTAAACACATTTCTAATCTTCCCTTAATTAACAAGTATAATGATAATGATGATGATGGCTTTGTAAATAAGAAAAGTGGGGCTGAAGAGATACAGTGACTTGCCCTGGGTCACCCATCTATGAAGTGGCAGAGCTAGAATTTGAATTAAAGTCGGTAGGACTATAAAGTTAGTTCTGTTATCCTGCTATCCCTTTCATAATTGTTACTGTTATTTTTAATGTTATCATTACTGCCCAAGGTCACAATTCACAAGTTGGCAAGCCTGCAATCTATCTAATTCAAAGCTATACCCTCCCTCCACTACACCAGAGTAATTCGGGAAAATATCTTCTTTCTTTGGCCCTCTGCCCAACCAAAGATGTCAGCAGATCCTCCTCTTCTGCAAAAGTCCTCTCTTGGGATAGAATTTTTGCCCCAGGTTGAAACCTCTTCCTGGCATCTCTGAATATCTCAGGTAGAAAAGTTCATAGTTCATCTTCTTCAGCTGCCACCTTTTATCGTTGGGGAGACCAAGGCCCATGGAGGTGAGGTGACAAGATCACACAGAGCCTAGAAACTAGGTTTCCTGACTCCCAGACAAGTTCTCTTCACTGCCCCCAGGCTACCTCGGACTTAAAGCACCAAGAAGGGTGCCTCCAACCTGAGGAGGACAGACTGGCATTTGAGTCACAAATAGGGTTTTCATCCAATTTGCTGTGTGACCTGAGGGAAAGTCAGAAGCCCTGATTTCCACAGCTGGGAAATGAGGTTGAGAAAATGGGTGGCTGAGGACCTTGTGAGATCCATGCTTCCCTGTCCCCAGAACCCGGCACCCCCACCCCCATTCCCACTCACATATTCCTGGAGCAGCTGCTCAGCGTATGTAGTGAGGAGGTGGGCAAGGCTGTGTGTCTGACGGATCTTGGCCTCCAAGTGGGGAAGCAGTGAGACTGAGGAGTCAGCCTGGGGGTCTTCTGGTGGGAAAGGGTGGAGGAATGAGAGCAGCCCACACCCCTGCTCTTTGACACCCTCCCCGCCACCAGCTGCCTCTTCCTTCCTGAACCCAGAAGCTCTGCTCTGGGATTCTCCTACTTTCAAGCTAGGCAGGGTCTGTCCTAATCTAGCTGAGAAAAAATGAGGCACCAGACTTTGTCAAGCAATGCTTTACCCTGTCCCCAAACTACCATAGAATTCCTATTAAAGCCAAATTCAAATATAGTCATGCATTGCTTAATAACTGAGATAAGTTCTGAGTAATGCATCATTAGGCAATTTTATCATTGTGCAAACATCATAGAGTGTACTTATGTAAACCTAGATGGTATAGCCAACTACATGCCCAGGCTATATGGTAAAGCCTACTATTGCACCAAGGCTGAAAACCTGTAAAGCATGTTACTGTACTGAATACTGCAGGCAATTGGAATTGGTGAATATATGTGTATCTTAACATATCTAAACATTAAAAGGCACAGAATAAATACATATTATAATCTTATCTGTTGTAATAATCCCAGATACTTCGGAGGCTGAGGTGGGAGGGTTGCTTGGGGCCAGAAGTTCAAGAATAACCAGGGCAATATAGCAAGACCCTTGTCTCTACTACTGCTGATAATGATAATGGCAATCTTACTGGACCACTGACCACCATTGTATATGGAGTCTGTGTTATTATGTAGCACATGACTATACTGCCTTCTCAGTGCAACCTCTAGAATTACCCCTCTGTTAAATGAACTTTGACTTGAGGCCATTTGCTCATATTTCCAAGGCAGCTCTTTTCTTTCTTTCCTTCCTTCCTTCCTTCTTTGAGACAGAGTCTCACTTTGTGGCCATTGGTAGGGCATAGTGACATTATAACTCACAGCAACCTCAAACTCTTGGGCTCAAGTGATTCCCTTGCCTCAGCCTCCCAAGTAGCTGGGACTATAGGCGCCTGCCACAATACCCAGGCTATTTTTAGAGGCGAGGTCTCACTCTGGTTCAGGCTGGCCTCGAACCTGTGAGCTCAGGCAGTCCACCTGCCTCAGTGTCCCAGAGTGCTAGGCTTACAGGCATGAGCCACCGTGCCCTCTCCTCAATGGCTCTTTTCTATGTGTATCTGCCTTAGCCTGGGAGATCTTTGAGGATAGACCTTATATATCTTTCTGTACCTCAGTGACTGTTGGTGGAATTCAACATCACTGAAATTCAGAACTTCAAATTAGAATGTGCCTTTAAGGTCCATGTTAAAGATAGGGAAACTGAAGTCTCATTTTTCTGATAAGGCGCTGTCTCATGGGCATCAATGAACTAACGACTGGTCTTCCCTGGCACAAACCAGTGTGCCACCCCCCCCCAAGGGACTACACTTCCCGATACGCACAGCGCACACCCACTGCATGCTGGGGAATGTAGTCCTGGCCCGGCAACTCCCGCCCCGCCCCTCGCCCGAGTTTCCCACCGCCTGTCCGGATCTTCAGCAGCTCTGACTTTCGTCTCCAGTTGTCATTCACTAGCTCCTGTGGCTCAAGGCCTTCCTTCCCTAACTCTACTTCTCCCATTCGCTTCTCCAGCTCTGATTCTTTCCCAATACTCAGAGTGAACCCAGGAGTCCTGCCCCAGCCCAGACCCCAGTCCTTACTCAGTGTGTACTCAAAAAGGTTTTCTAACTCTAGCGCCTAAGTCCACAAACCTTCAGCCCCAGCCTCCTCTAAACCCTTGCGGGCGGCCCCTTCTCACGACACACTAGTTACCTGACACCGGAGCCCTGCTCTTCCCCGCCCAGGCCGCTCCCCGTCCGGACTCGAGGGTGACCGAACCTAGACCCCAACTTCCAACCCTCTGACTGCTGCTCCCCTCAGGGACCCAGCAGTGTGCGGTGCTTTTTCCCCTTACCCAGACTTCCCTCCCTCCGGCTCATGCTGGCCCCTGGCTGATCCCGGTTCCCTCCACGCCCCCCTTTCGAGGGGGGAGAATAGGAAAGGTCTAGGGGCGGAGCCCGGGCGCAGCCAATCAGAGCTTAGACCCCAAACATTTCACACACACCCCCTTCCAGGCAAGATTCCTTGGCCCTGAGCTCAGGTCCCCGCCTGTGGGGCCTACTAGGGGAAGGGGCCTGAGGGGTAGGCAGGTTGTCCGCTCGGTAGACAGGACCTTGGGGCTAGGGGTATTGGGGGCCTGAGAGGCAGCCCAGTGTCCTGCCGCCGTTAGGAGACTCAGGTTCTGACCTGCGGCAGAGACCGTCGCTGGGGCTGTTTTGGGAGGAAAGCTGGGAAGACAGGAAAGGGAAACTGCAAGACTGGCAGGACAGGAATGTACAGGCCCGCCCTCCCTCTTGACTGGGTGGCAGGGTGTGAGGGAGGCCAGGGTGGGGGCCCTCAGGCTTGGGACACACTTGTCAGTACCTAACACCTCATGGCATATTTTAGATACCAGCACTTTCATTGTTACCAGGAGGGAGTCAGACAAACCACCTCACCTGAACTCACCAGGCCCAGTGTAGAGAACACCACTGATACACACACACACACACACACACACACACGTCTACTGAAGGGTTAATGTTAACAGACACTCATTCTCACATGGAAGCAAACTTCAGAGACCTGTATAGGAGGTCACACTCATACATCAACACCATTATTCTGGTTTAGAATTTGACAAAACTATACAGATATGCCCACTTATGGTTCCCAAGCACCTACTCTGTCTTGGGCTCTGGAACAAAGATGATCTTCTGAGGAGTTTCTGACTCTCCAAGGAGCTCACAGTTTGACAGGGGAGACATAGATAGCAGTGGCTAATGGAGTGTGAGAGAAAAGAATTGAAAAGAAGGCCCATATATCTGTGAGAATGTTGCCATGAGCAGACAAGTGCGAGAATAAAGGAAGAAAGAGATTAACTGGTGGAGGGGACAACAAGTGCAATTGAGCAGACTGTAGAGGCCACAACATACAGTTATTAACAGAGAATATTTATTGAGCATTTACTACGTCCTGCGCAGTGTTCTAACAGCTATCTACGTATTAACTTACTTCTAAGTTATAGGTGAGAAAAGAGAGATGAATGACTTGTCCAAGGTCACACAGCTGGGGGTGACAGAGCTGGGATAGTACCTCAGCAGTTTGGCTCCAGAAATACTGTCATTTTCACACTCCTAACTCCTTAATTCCTCAACCTCTGGACAGAATCATACCAAAACTCACAGACACAACAGCCACACCTTGAATCTCACACATGGCAGCACATATTTAGACATGGTCATGTCTGCTGACAATCCAGCCTCAAGTAAAGTCAACCAAAACATCCTCATTTTCTTTAAGTAAGCTTTTAATTGAAGTGTAATACACATACAGAAAAGTGCACACATCATTAAGTGTACACAGAGTAAATATGCCCAGGGAACCAGCAGCAGATTATAAAACAGGATGTGGCCAGCTCCCAGAATCCCCCACCTACTCCTTCCCAGTCCTAAGGGTAACCACTATTCTGATTTCTTACACTATAAATAAGTTTTGTCTGGTTTTGAACTTCATACAAATAGAATCACATAGTGTGCACTGTCTTATCTGGCTTCTTTCATTCAAGATTTATTCAAGAGACTTGCCTCCGTTGTTAGGTATAGCAGGGCATCAGTCATTCTCTTTGCTGTGTCTATGTCCATGGTAATGAACAGACTATAATTTATTTTCCATTCTGTTGATGGGCTATTTTCAGCTTGGGGCTATTATGAATACTGCTATGAACATTCCAGTACATGTTTCTTGGTGCTCACACCTACGCATTTCTGTTGGATGTTGACAACCTAGGGGTGGAATTGTTGGATCATAGGGTTGGCGTGTTTAGCTTCACTAGAAAACTACCCGTTTTCCAAAATGTTTCAACCAATTTACACTCCCCCGGAAATATGAGAGGTCCAGTCGCTCTACTTCCTCGCCTACACTTGGTATGGTCTGTCTTTTTTTTTTTTTTGAGACAGAGCCTCAAGCTGTCCCCCTGGGTAGAGTGCCGTGGCATTACAGCTCACAGCAACCTCCAACTCCTGGGCTTGAGCGAGTCTCCTGCCTCCACCTCCCAAGTAGCTGGGACCACAGGTGCCTGCCACAACGCCCGGTATTTTTTTTTTTTTGGTTGCAGCCGTCATTGTTGTTTGGCGGGTCCGGGCTGGGGATTCCAACCCGCCACCTTTGGTGTACGTGGCTGGCGCCTTAGCCGGTTGAGCTATAGGCGCCGAGCCGGTTTGGTCTGTCTTTTTCACATTACCCATTCTGGTGGATGGAGCTCCACACATATTTTCAGTGCCCGGCACTCAGTCAACAGATAGTTGAATGAATGGATGAACAAATAAATTGGACGGCGCAGAATCAGACAGCCTGGCAAGGGTAGACATACACCCCCCCCCCACACACTCTCCACATCGCATTTCAAGGACGCCAACCCGCAGCGGACGCACACCAGGACACACACCCTCTCGTGCACCCCAGTACCCACGTGGTCTGAACGCACAGCCTCAGCCAGCCGCGCGCGGCCAGTCGCCTGGCTGTCCCCAACTCTCCCTCTCCGCGGCGGGCAGGGGGCGCTGCGCGTCCCGGCGCCCCGAGGGGGCGGGCCCGGGGCGGGGCGGGGCCGGCCTGGCTTCCAGGCTTGGGCTCTGGCCGCCCGCGCAGCCAAGCCGCTCCGGGGACTGGCCCGGGCGGGGCGCGGTGGCAGGAAACGGGGCGGGGACTCGCGGAGGCGTTGGGGAGCGAGGGAGGGCGCGGCCAACTCCCGGAGGGACTGCAGGCCGAGAGAGCGGCGCCCCGGCCTGGCGCCGAGCCTGAGCCCGCCGGACGGGAGGCGGCCCCGCCGCGGGCTCGGCCCCGGCCCCAGCCCCGCCAGCATGGCCGGCCGGACCGTACGGGCCGAGACCCGGAGCCGGGCCAAGGATGACATCAAGAAGGTGATGGCGACCATCGAGAAGGTCCGGAGATGGTGAGCGCTGCCCGGGGTCAGGGACGGGACATGGCGGGACCACCACTACCAAATGCATCTACCCTCTCCTCACCGGCTGTGGCCCTCGGATGTTGGTGTACCCTAGCTCACAGCTGTAGCCTGAGTCGACTATGGCTCTATGCTCCTTCCTCTGGTTACTCCCCGGGGTCTACAAAGCGTGGTCCCCAGCCGTGCCTTCCCAGAGCCGGAGCCTCCATTTATGCCCCGCCCCCTAAAGCTTTGACACTCCTGCAAGTAGCCTTTGGATCTTCACAGCTATGATTGGCAGCCAGGCCCATGGCGGTGCCCCTTATGTATGCCCTGGTCTGCAGAGCCACGTCCCCAAGTCATGCCCTCTCTCTAGAGTACCTATCTGTGCGCTGGGGTTTGCAGGGTTCTTTCTCCATTTAACTATGCCCCTTTAGGAAAACTCTCCCTACCCTCATGCAACCCCCACCTTTGCAGCTACCCCCAGATGTGCCTAGCTCCTTGAGGACTCTCCCTTTGGGCCTCTCTGACCCAGCCCCCCACCCTCCCACAGGGAGAAGCGATGGGTGACTGTGGGTGACACTTCCCTTCGTATCTTCAAGTGGGTGCCAGTGGTGGACCCCCAGGAGGAGGTGAGCTCTCCCCCACCCCAGGTCCTGCATCTGTGTAACCTTAGGCAAGCACCTCCCACCCTGGCCTCTACCTCCAGCCCCTACTCTGAAACCAAATGCAGTACCCCAGACAGATGTTAACGATTATTAGTGACTTCTCCCCCTTTTCCCTTTTTCCTGCTCCAGACCCCCTGAGTTCAAGATCTAGGTCAGCGTGTACAACTTCTGCTACCTCAAGCAGGACTTTTTGCTTCTCTGTGCCTCAGTTTCCTTATTTGTATATTGAGGAGCTAAATAGAAAGATGGCTCTGATCTTTATCTCTCTAACCCCCCAGGAGCGACGTCGGGCAGGTGGCGGGGCAGAGAGATCCCGTGGTCGGGAGCGTCGGGGCAGGGGTGCCAGTCCCCGAGGGAGTGGCCCCCTCATTCTGCTGGATCTCAATGGTATGTAGGAATTCTGAAATTTGAGGGGCCGTAGTAATTGAAGGAATGTTCCAAGGACGTCAAGCTAATCCTCTGCTTTTGCTCCCACAGATGAGAACAGCAATCAGAGTTTCCATTCAGAAGGCTCTCTGCAAAAGGGCACTGAACCCAGCCCTGGAGGCACCCCCCAGCCCAGCCGCCCTGTGTCACCTGCTGGACCACCAGAAGGGGTCTCTGAAGAAGCTCAGCCACCCCGGCTAGGCCAAGAGAGAGGTAGGACCAAGCACCTCAAAATTGTCCTCTTCTCTGAGTCCTGTTCTGTCCAAAGTTAAACCCACCAGCTTATGGGAAGCCTGCTCCTCTCCTGTGCTGCCCCCTAGGGGCCTTCCCTGACTCCTGCAGTAACTACCTGTCGCTGCTATTTCATTCCTCTGGCTTCTTAGGATCCATAGATAACATATCACCATCTGAGATTTCCACGTAAACTTAATTTTTGACCAGTTTACTGTCTTTTCTCTCCTCTCCCAACTCATATCACTTTCCTGAATGTTGGGTCCATATTGATCTTATTCACTACAGTATCCCCAGGATATCATAAGATACATAATAGGTATTCAATAAATGTTTGTTACATAAATAAATAATAGTGGTACTCATAAAAGCGATGGATGGTAGTAGAGATAAGAACTAATAAATATTGAGCTCCTATTATGCTCCAAGTACCCTTTCAAGCCCTTTACATGTTTTTTCTCATTCTGACTATGACCTTATAAGGATGTTGAGCCTGCTATGATATCTCTTTATAGACGAGGAAACTGAGATTCATAGAAGTTAAGTAAGTTGCCCAAGCTTACCTAGCCACTGAGCCAGCTTCTTGGGCTTAAGTCCTCCTCCAAAGAAGAAAGCCTCTGTCTGTTTGACACCAGCTCCCACATGTCACTCCCTTCTCTCTCCCCAGTCCCTGCCTTGGGCTTCCTCTCTTTCACCCCTACCTGGCTTCAGCTTCCTCACTGGTCTCCTCTAAGTGGCTTCCACACAGCTGCCAGAATAGCTTTTTCTTTTTTTTTTTGAGACAGAGCCTCAAGCTGTCCCGCTGGGCAGAGTGCCGTGGCATTACAGCTCACAGCAACCTCCAACTCCTGGGCTCCAGCGAGTCTCCTGCCTCCGCCTCCCAAGTAGCTGGGACCACAGGCGCCCGCCACAACGCCCGGCTATTTTTTGGTTGCAGCCATCATTGTTGTTTGGCAGGTCAGGGTTGGGGATTCGAACCCGCCACCTTAGGTGTACATGGCTGGCGACTTAGCCAGTTGAGCTATAGGCGCCGAGCCAGCTTTTTCTAAAGCATAAGTTACAGTCTCATTTTTTGGCTTCAGATCTTTCAGTGGCTCCCCATGGCCTTTAACTCCTCAGTTTGACATTTGGAGCCTTTGTGGACTGTTCTCTGCTGACCTCATTTGTTCCCATCAAGAACATCATGACTTGAGCCTATGGGGCTGCATCTAGAATGCACTTGTGTATCTTTGCTAACAGAAAAACAATAACCAGAATTTATTGAGCACTTACTATGCACCAAACACTGTGCCGTGGGCTTAATTGTATTATGTCATTGGATCCTCACAATGGTCTTGTATGGTAACTACTGTCATTATCCCCATTTTACAGACAGGTAAACTGAGGCCTAGGGAGATTAAATAGCTAGCCCAAAGTCAGGATTGAACCGAAGCCCAGAATCTGTGCTTACTAAGCATGTGTTTCGTCTGTCTAGAATGTGTTCTTCCTATTTGTCTACCCCATAAAACTCTACTTACTCTTTATAAATGTCCCACATAAATGTTCCTTCCTGTGTGTTCTTCCTGAGTTGCAGCCAGGTTCCAGCCCCTTCCTCACTGCTCCCACAGACCTCCGGCTTGTGTGACTGGTGCTCATTTGTATGTTTCCCCCTCTGTTTGTGCTATTGGCACAGAACGTCTGTTCAGGGAATGTTTGTTAACTTGATGTTCCAGATCCTGGGAGTATAACTGCAGGCAGCACCGATGAACCCCCAATGCTGACCAAGGAGGAGCCTGTTCCAGAATTGCTGGAGGCTGAGGTGAGAGAGGCCAGAAAGCTGGACTCCCGTGTCTTAGAGGGAATTTGGGCTCTGGGGCAGCCAAAGGCTTGGAGACTGCTGATGTCCAGGAGGGAGATGTAAACCTAAGACCCAGCTAAAGGTTTCAAGGCTGGGTTCTTCAGACTGAGAAATAAAGGGTATTTTAGAGACAGAGTCCTGAGGGCTGTATCAGGGCTGACCTAAGAACATTAAAAGCCTGAAAAGATCATGGTATTCTTACACATATTTTAAAAATATATCCTTGACTGTAAAATTAGGTTAAGAAAGTCTCTCATAAGCTTCTGACTTTTCTCACAAGGGCTACCTTGATGCATTTTCCAGAAATATCAAATATCAGATTCTTCCCCTGAAACAGTGTTGCAGTTATTGTTGCTGTTGTTCTCTGTGCCCTACGGAATCTACATCTTGGGCACCTGACCCTGGGCTGGACTCCTGGGTCTGGGAGTGGAGTGGAGTGAGGCTTTGGAGGAGGCAGAGGCTGGGAGGCTGCACTCCCAGGTCCGGGTGGAGCTCACGCCTGTCCGCCCTTCCTCTCCAGGCCCCCGAAGCTTACCCCGTCTTTGAGCCAGTGCCACCTGTCCCTGAGGCAGCCCAGGGTGACACAGAGGACTCGGAGGGCGCTCCCCCACTCAAGCGCATCTGCCCAAATGCCCCTGACCCCTGAGAAGTCGGCCTGCCTGTCCCGTTGCCCCAGGGGCCCCTTTGGCTTTTTACAAATAAAGACCCTTTTGTAATTTTGTGTCATGTCATTTCCCCGTCAGGGCTGGGGAGGGTCTTTGGAGACAGTTTTGTCTCATGCTCCATTTCTCAGATGGGGTCACTAAGGCTCTGAGAGGACCTTCCTATAGTCATGCTAAGAGTCAGCTGTGGGATTGGGCGCTTGAGCCAGGACCCTGCCTCCCCAATTCTGCCTCCATCTACCCTGGTCCTCTTACCTTTGACCTTCCCTGACCTTTACCCTCTTTTGGGAATCCCAGACCCCTCTTCTTCCTGCTTAGCCCTCCCCTGGACTCATCAATTGTCAAAGCTCTGGGCAGCTAGGCCTGTGATTCCCATTTCATTCATAGAAACACAGAGGCCTAGAGGGACTTAGGGAGACCGGGATGTCCCAACCATTCCTTGCCCTCAGGAAGCTGCAGCATTATGCCTCCCTGCCTTTATTTAGCCATTCCTCAACCTGGAACCTTGGCCCCCTTCTTTTTTGTTTTTGAGACAAGCGTCTCACTATGTCACCCTCGGTAGAGTGCTGTGGTGTCACAGCTCACAGCAACCTCCAATTCTTGGGCTCTAGTGATCTCTTGCCTCAGCCTCCCAAGTAGCTGGGACTACAGGCACCTGCCACAATGCCTGGCTATTTTTTGTTGCAGTTATCATTGTTGGTTAGCTGGCTGGGGCCAGGTTCAAACTTGCCAGCCATGATGTATGTAGCAGGCGTTGTAACCACTGTGCTATGGGCACCAAGCCCCTTGGCCCACTTCTGTTTGCCTCCAGTTCTATCACCACCTCCTCCAAAGCTAACTGAGCCTTCCTTGACCCCAGGCTCAGTCAATTTCTTCTTTTGTTAAGCTCCCATAACCCCTGGGCACTTTTGTTTCAGCATTTACCAGGCTGTTTTGGGATTGCTGGTTTGTGCATCTGTCTTGTCCACTAGGCTGTGGGTTCCTGAGGACAGAACTGGGTTCCTAGCCTTACCTAGCACACATCTGGAACACTGCAGTCATAGCAGCATTCATGAATGAATGATTAAATGAATGGGCCAGGGTTATGTAGGAAGGCTTCTCTGGGGAGATGATATGTGAATTGGACTTTAAGGCATGAACCTCAGTATGGTAGAACTAAAGCCAGAATCCCTGATTTAATTCCTGGTTCTGTTATTTACTATCTGTGTGGGTCTAGGCAGGCTATATCTACTCTCTGAGCCTTAGTTTGTTCATCTGAGCAATGATGACATATACTAGGCTTCACCTGCCCAAGTGGTTTGTGGAATCTTCAAATAATCTAAAGTCCCTTTACTCTCTGCCTGCAAAAGAGGCAGGCTCAGGTGTATTAGCCCTATTTTTATTTTTAAAGGAAGAGACTGAGGTTCAGAGAAGATCAAATTGGAACTTTACTCTAGACAAAGGACCCGAGAGAGATGGCTGACTTGGGTCTTCCCCTTTGCCAGAGGCTCTGGTTCCTTTTTTATTGCTTCTATATTTCTTTCCATCTAATAAAAATTCTGTCTTACCACTGAAAAAAAAAACAATTGGAACTTTAAAGAACCATTAAAATTGTAAGGTGTTTTCTGGTAGCAGCTACAATGGGAATAGTGGAGCCAGAGCCAGTCAGTGACGCCAGGTGTGGTATGCAGTGATGGGGTGTATTCATTTCCTGTGGCTGCTATAACAAATTACCATCGATTTAGTGGCTTAAAGTCACACAGATTTATCATCTTACAGTTCTGTATGTCAGAAGTCCAAAATGTGTCTCATTGGGCTAAATAGAATCAAGGTGTCAGCAAGGCTGGTTCCAGAGGCTGTAGGGGAAAAATCTGTTTCCTTGATTTTTCCAGCTTCTAGAGGCTACCTACATTCCTTGACTTGTGCCCCCTCCTTCATCTTCAAATCCAGCAGCATAGTATCTTCAATCTCCGTTTCTCTGTTTCCGTCATCACCTCTCCATCTATGATTTTCCTGCCTCCCTCTTATAAGGATCCTTGTGATTACATTGGGCCCACCTGAGTAATCCAAAATACTTTCCCATCTCAAGTGCATTAATTTAATCACATCTTCAAAATCCCATTTGCCATGTAAAGTAACATATTTACAGGTTCTGGGGATTAGGATGTGGACATCTTTATTTTTGTCTTTGTTTTGAGACAGTCTATGTTGCCCTTGGTGGAGTGCCTTGGCATCATAGCTCATAGCAACCTCAAACTCTTGGGCTTAAGCGACTCTCTTGCCTCAGCCTCCCAAGTAGCTGGGACTACAGGCGGCCCCCACAACGCCTGGCTATTTTGTTGTTGTTGTTGTTGTCATTGTTGCTTAGCAGGCCCTGGCCAGGCTCAAACCCACCAGCTCAGGGGCATGCGGCTGGCGCTCTAACCATTGAGCTACAAGCACTGAGCCAAGATGTGGACATCTCTGAAGGGCCATTATTCAGGCCACCAGACATTTTCTGGGTTGTGGGTCATCTCATTACTCTCTTTAATTACACTACGAGGTGATAAGAGTGCTCTGTAAACTATAAAGTACCTTGTATGGGTTAGTGGTACAGTGTTAAAGCTCAGAATTCAGGTTCTGGGTTTGAATCTCAGCATCTACATTCATTTGCTGTGTGATGTGGAGCAAGTGGCTTAACATCTCTATGCTATAGTTTTCTTATCTATAAAAATGGCAATACTAGTCGAATCAGCCTGGTGAGACTACTGTGAGCATTAATGACATAATACCTGGAGAGAGAGTCCTTGGCTTAGCATGTAGTAAGTGCTCAATAAATAGCAGGTGTTTTTCCTATTACCCCATCATACAAATGAGATACCAGGGTGAGGCCAGATAGTGCCTATCAGTGAGGCTGTGGGGGAGGACCCCAGCTCTAGATGGGGCTAACATTTGTCTCCCTAATTCTTATCTCTCTCCTAGTCACAGGCCTCAGGCAATTGTCCCTGAGCCCAAGCCTGCTCCCACCCTGTCTGTGTCCCATTCTCTGACCTGGTATAAAAGCCACTCTTCCATAGCCACACCCCAATTTGTCACCTTGTCCTGCCCTTCCTGCCCCCTCATGAAATCTATACTCTTTTTTAAGAAATCCTTCTACCCCTGGCTCAGGGCCCTGGCCGCCAATGTCCGTCCTTGGTCTTTGATTTCTCTCCTCTTGGTGATCCCTTAAATATCTCTTCCCCTGGCCTAGCTCCTCTCCTTATGAGCATTCTCCCTGCTAAGTTCACTCACCCTTTGAATCAATGGTTCTGCCTACTTCCAAGCTTGAAAAGCATCTCCACTGGGGTGTCCCTCAGATGCTCAGCCTCATATTCTCCAAAACCAATGTCCCTCTGTCCCCTGCATCCATGGATGGCCCCACAATCTCAGAAGCCAGCATGAGGGGGAATACTAGGAGTCCAGATCCAACTTCCATGAGTCACCATGTCCTGTTAAGTATCTGTCCTAAATCTCCAATCTTCTCTTTTCTTCAGGGCCACAATGTTTTGTTTTGTTTTGTTCTGAGACACAGTCTCACTATGTTGTCCTCAGTAGAGTGCTATGGCATCACTGCTCACAGCAACCTCAAACTCCTGGTCCCAAGTGATCTTCTTTGTCTCAGCCTCCCTAGTAGCTGGGACTACACCTGCCACTAGCCGAGCTATTTTTAGAGACGAGGTCTCAGTCTTGCACAGGTTAGTCTCAAACTCCTGACCTCAAGCAGTCCACCCCCCTCAGCCTCCCAGAGTGCTATGATTACAGACATAAACCACTGTGCCTAGCCCATAATGTTTTACTAGATGGCAAGAAAAACTATTTTTTTTTTTTTTGAGACAGAGCCTCAAACTATCCCCCTGGGTAGAGTGCCGTGGCATCACAGCTCACAGCAACCTCTAACTCCTGGGCTCAAGCGAGTCTCCTGTCTCAGCCTCCCAAGTAGCTGGGACCACAGGCACCCGTCACAGTGCCTGGCTATTTTTTGGTTGCAGCCGTCATTGTTGTTTTGGTGGGCCCAGGCTGGATTTGAACCTGCCACCTTAGGTGTATGTGGCTGACGCCTTAGCCACTTGAGCCACAGGTGCCAAGCCAAGAAAACTATTTTAATAGCCTCCCTGAGCTTCATTCTTGCCCACCTCCAATCCATGCTCCACCCCGAAACCCAAATCTTGTGCAGACTTCTGCACCTGGTTAAAAAACTTTCTGGTCCTTCCTTTGTGCTACTGTCTGCTACTTCCACCTTGCAGGCAGCCCCTCTGAACTTCTTGTCCCCCTCACCCCATGCACTCCATTGCTTTTCACCTC